CCTCTCTATGTTCTGTTTGGTGTTCTCAGTGCCAATAGGGACGTCCTGTAGGTGGTACATCTGACACAGGTATGCCATGACTGGTTCTGGGGCTTCAAACAAATCCTTCAGGTAGTGTTGGAAATCGTACCTTTCCCTGGGACAAAAGTTTAAAAGGTAGATGGTGATTTGGACAGTAGTCATCAAGCTTCAATATCATTCAAAGCACTGTTAAAAAATAGACAGTTTCTTGTAGAAAATGACAGGATACTGTTAACATACAGAAAGTGGACAGCCTACCTGAGCTGCTGTATGGGTTTTTGTGACACAAATTCAGACACTGGCCTGGTGGGAGCCCTGACAGCATTCACCTTCAGCTTCTGGTTATCTCTCACCTGTCATACAGGAACACTGTGGGTCAAACTTAGGTCAAATCAAATTAACTATAGGGATTGCCTTATGGAGACCCCATAATGGTGTAGATGTATAGAGCGGTGCCCATCTCAATTTCCTTAGCCCTTGGGCCACACAGCTGTGCAGGCACAGATAATACTACAGTAGGGGGCCATATGTATTCAACATCCATACTCTTTCCCATGCTGAGCACTAAGCAAGGAAGCAGTATGTACCAATTTGTATGACTTGGTCAGAGAATCGAATCCACTACCTAATACATGCAAAGTGAATTATTTTGTTGTTTTGGTGACAAATATAAAAAAAATTGATACAACAGAAATGCAACAAAAAGTTAGAAGAACAAAAAGCAAGTCATACCTCATTGAGAAACTTGTTCATGTCTTCCTGGTCCTCACACACAAAAGCCCTCATGTCATTGTAGGAGATGATGTGCTCCAAATACCGGGCATAGCCACGATTTGGCACATTCATCTGAAAAAAAAATATATATACATACATTTGTATACAGATACAGTACTTGAAACACTGTCTCACCAGTAAAAAAGGAAAATACAGGCAAGGGGGTCTCTGACAATACAGACGTTACGTCCCTTTCCCCTCCATTTTCCCTAGGAACAGCCCTGAGGATTATCCTGGATCTAGAATGGGGATTATTTAGATCTACAATGTGTAATGCTGCTTACAATGAGCATGATAGGTTCATAGATGTTCTTCTTGAACTTGTCCCTGTTGGCCCGCAGCCACTGCACGGCGTCATACGTGTGGCGGTGCTTCTGTCGCAGCAGGTTCAGCCTCTGGTTCCGCACATCCTCCAGGTGTCGGATCTCATCCTTACACCCTGCAACATGTCAGCAGCTCAACTTTAAGTTGCTTGATGCAGTTGGAAGAACATGGAAAAATAATGGTCTTCTGACACAACCTATAACTATGGGAGGCTACCTGGATGTTAAAATTCACACCAGTCATGAGCAGAACAAAATAGAAAAAGGTTCTCAGCTGCTAAAAGATGTGATAGCAGATCTACAAAGAAATTTCTGAGTTTCTAAATTCTCAGGCAAAAGATGACAATTTCTTTTGCATCAGTGGCTACTTCAAAGCAAATAGTTGTTGTTGTTGGGACTGTTGTAACACACTGTAAGTCACCTCTGGCTGTTGAACCTACTTTTAATGTCCCTGTCCAGCTCCCTGCGCTCTTCCTTGATTCTGTCTTTCTCGGTCTGCAGTTTCCTCATGTCTGAGTTGATAGCCCTCAGCTCCAAACCAATCTCATTGATTCTTGGCTGTCAGAGAAAATGCAAAAGTCTGTCATAAACGAAATTCACTATACTTAATCAAAAACACACGGGCATTTTTTCAACCCATTGGTAAACATCTTGTTTGGGTGTTTAAATGCAAACTTAACTGTCATATTCAGACCTACTAATGTGATTTATTTCTAAGAAATGAGTTGAAGGAAACTTACTGTGACATCTTGGGCTGTCTCAATGACTTCCTGCAGTTCATTCTGCAGGGCACCTAGGTGGCGCTTTAGTTGGTTCAGCCTAACAGTACAAACAATATAAAATGATAAATGTTGACCTGTTCATCAAATAACCATTTCCATTAACGAGGTAATAAACTTTGCATTTCGCTTTTCAATTAAAATTTTACAACATAAGAATGCCAAGCTCAGACATCAAAGACAAAAAAAGAAAACAGTTAAGTACTGTGCAGCTCACATTTTGACACGGTCGCTCTCTTGCTGCTTCTTCTCCTTGATTAACTCTTGTACATCTGTGATCTGGTGATGAAAAAAGTATGGTAACATGTAACATCATATTATCAAGTAACCACATCATTATTACAGTTTTCAGTACTACTAGCCGACTGCTGCTGACCCATGTCAGGGACACGAGCAGCAGAAGCATTAGGGAGGATAAAAGCATTGGTGAAACTGGCAGTTGCTTGAACAGAACTTACATCCTCCTGCAGCTGGGCAAGGTTCTCAGATCTCTCCTTGCACTGTCCTGTAGTCTGGCGGATTTGGTTTTGCTGCAGAACAATAAACACACTGTTATTACAACTCATAAGGAGAAGTATAATGTTTGACGTGCAAATTTGCATATTACAACAACTACTGGATTTATAGGCAGAAGAGAGAGAGAGAGAGAGTTCACCTTTCCCTTGATGTCTTGGTCGATCTTTGCGGCATGTTCCCTGGCGCGATCTGCCTGCCTCTGGCGAGGGGCATTTTTCTTCTGTTCCTCGCGCAGTCGCTGGGTGAACTCTGTCTTCTTGCTTTTGGCTGAGTTGAACTTTTTTTGGTTCTCAACCATTTGCTATGCAAAAAAAAAAATTATAATGATAGCCTTGTCTACTACATGCATGTAACATGCACAGGCTTATGTACTGAGACTATAGTCATCTTCATAAATTGTACATCTAGTTCTTGAACGTGTTTTACAGTCAGTTGAATAACCTGTCTATCAAGTTCAAATAGAAGAGACTCCCTATTTTTCTACTTGACTTTGAGAAAAGAATGAGGAAAACTTACAGCCCAGGGTTTCTTCTTTTCCAGCACTTGAATTTTAGCCAGATGTCTCTCCCGTTCACGGTAGCGTTCGACATCCTGTTCCAAGCGAGCGTTTCTTTCCTTCAGGCGCTCCAAGTGAGTTCTGTGCTCTTCCAGCTTGTTGGTGAGCTGACGCTCATCTCGTCGGAAGTCCTTCAGACGACAGTGATCTTCGTGCAACTGTGCTGACCCAACCTACAACACACGAGACCATGTAAAGTAAAGGTAAAATAGCATCAACTTGAAGTGTAATGCTTAAGATGAAGCTAGTGAATCTGTTTTGTCATTTCAACGATTTTAGATATTTTAAGCGAATTAATATTGATCTGCCAATTTGTACACGAGTCTGTCAATTCAGCCTGTTGGCTGCCATGTGACTTGTCTTTGATTTTAATTAATAATAAACCAGTCTACTAGTGGACTATAGTACAAGCATAATGCAACACCAAAACTTACAGCTTTTTCTGTGTTTTCCAGCAGTTGGTATTTGTCCATCTTGGCAAAATCTGCTACTCTGTCCTGCATGATAGAAAAGATACATCAAGTTAAGTGCTGATTAAAATATTGAAATTTTTCAACATTAAGGGCTCCTAATAAATGTTTGACAATTAAAAAAGTTTTTCATAAAGCATCATATATTAGAAATGCAAATCCCTACTGACACTTACCTGTGGTAGGAACTGACACAGGTTGTTGACCTGGATGTTGAAGCTGGCCACTGTCTCCTGTACTTTCTTCTGGGTGGCATGCTGACCGTTCAGACTCCAGTCTGACCTGTTATCCCGGTGAATCTGCCTCCTGATCACTACGTTGTCCTCATCTTCACCACCATGTCTGTAAGGAACAGCAACCAATCATAAGACAGGGCTGAAACACCACCTGTCACTTGCATTTTGCAGATAGAACAATGGCTTGACCACTGAGGCAACACCAAAAATTAGAATGGAGGTAATGATAAAAGGTAAATCTACCTGTATTGACGTAAAGCATAACATTTTAAGGAAGTTCTTTAATTTCAATACAGAAATGAGGAAGACTGCTGATAACAACAGTGTACTTACAGCTCCAGCTCGATGTATCCTGTTTCCTTGCAATGTTTCACATACTCTCCAATCTACAAAAGGACCAAGTTATGATGATGTTAAAAGAAGGCAAGACTATTAATACAGATTAGTCTTATAATAATAAGTTATAATAGAATAGCAGCATTGAAATAACAAGTTCACAATAAAAAGATGAATATGTTAAAAAAAACTACAAATACTAGTATATTTTGTATGAATACTGTAAGTGTACTGATGTTAATGTTATCTTTTTGTTTGTGTTCTGTGTGAATTAATCTCGAGACATGAATTGGTTTTGCCATACTAGCCACCCCCTTCCCCACACCTTACCTCTGTCACAACTACCCCACACAGGTACTTAAGATAACATTACATGAACTGTGACACTGCTACAGTAACTACTTGTAATGACAACAGACAAGACACCACTGACTGCTCACCTCCTTTGCCCTGCCTAGGACGTTGGTGCTGCCCCCCAGGCCCAGGCACATCGCACACACTATGCTGGACTTGCCGGTGCCATTGGGCCCAATGATCACATTCAGCTGGGTTCCGGGGTAGAACTCACATGCATCATATGTGCTTCACAGTAGGAAAGAAAGAAGATGAGAGAAAAAATGAAATACCGGTATAATGAAACCGAGTGGGTTTGTTTTGTTGACCTCAAACCAGCCTACATTTTCTGAATTGAGGTTATGATGAGTGAGGAGGTTATGGGTCAGACAAAATCAGTGGCGGTGGCAGCGGGGGTGGCAGGGGGGGGCGACTGCCCCCCCAAAAAAATAATCATGAAATTCTAGTGTATTTTCTCTAAATGTATGGAAAAGCCAGCGAACAGTTAGATTTTTACCTTAAAAATGCTTGTAAAACGCATTTTCCGCGCTGCGTCCCCCTTGTGGACTTAGATATTAACATAGCATGTGGAAATTCGGGACGCCATGGACTCGAATAACGAGTAAGAAACTTAGCTACTAAGTACTCAAAATTTAGCTTCGTGTACCAGCAAAATTTCCCCCCAAAAAAGCAGGAAAACGCATTTCAGAGGGTTAAAATTTCACAATTTCCCGGGGGAGCATGACCCCGGACCCCCCTAGGTGCGGCGCGGCGGCTCGCGCCTTCAGCGCTCGATAGTGGATTCCATACAAATCTCGCCCCCCCAATCAAAATTTCCTGCCGTCGCCTCTGAAAATATACAAAATTAATAAGTACAATGTAACATGACAAACATAATACCGATAACATGACTCATGTCCTCCTAAATGTTTTATCTTTAAACATAGAGTGGAAGCCTTAGTCAAATCCTTACACATACAAGGTACATGTTTCACAAACCCAGGCTTTGAGTTTTAACCTCCCTGTATAAACATAACAAAACTGAAAGTGATTGCATCATAATTAGCCAACTAGCGGTAGTTGGGTAACACATGTATGTTCATGGGTGTGAAAAATCATGAACTTAAAAAAAGAAAACGTAAGATTTAATTTTACTGATCTTAACCAGGACAAGGGTTAAGCGAGCAGAGGTGGAGTGGGAAGACTCTACAGACCTGGAGAGTACATTTAATGAACTTTGGCCATGACATCTGCCATGCAACAGGATGACAGGTGAGACCAGCCAACCAACAGCTAGCTATAGTACAAATGTATCATGAAAGTTCATCTGTGTTGGTAGTTACATGTTTAGTTAAAACTTTTGGTCCAACACAAAAAAGTTCTCTCACCTAGAGCTTTCGACCAGTCACTCTGGTCCTCCTCAGTAGGCTGACCCAGTGAAGCTTGTCTACCAGGCAGATACCTTTGACCTGTCACTTCAAAGAAGCCATGTGACAAGCTTCACTGGGTCAGTCTACTGAGGAAGACCAGAGTGACTGGTCGAAAGCTCTAGGTGAGAGAACTTTTTTGTGTTGGACCAAAAGTTTTAACTCTAAACAGCTAGCTATAGGTTTAGGCCAATGAGAGTGTTATAATTACCCTAGCCTGGGTGCCAGACCCACAAGCATACTATGCTGGATAACTTTGAGCCTAGTGTGCTGTCAGTGTGGGTCTGGTACCCAGGCCAGGCTAGTCTAGGCTAGTCTGATAATAGTGTTGGGACAAGTTAATACTGGTCCAAATCCTGATCCCCATGCAAGGACCAGGCTTCTGAGCCACACTCTATGAGTAGAGTAGAGTAGAGTAGATCTTTCGTCTCGGTAGGAAGTTCTCTTCCACTTTGAGCCGCTGCCCACATCCATAACATGATGAAATTTGAAGTTCAAGTCATCTCTACTGTACCTGAGTCCTCTAACCAAGAATGTTGAAATCAGTTCTTGAGTTCCATGCTCTGAGTCTGACAACACCATCTTGTCAACTAGATAAGACCATTCATTCCATCTGTGGGCCCCCCATGCATCAAGCCACAAGAAAACATCTGGAAGTCATTAAATGAAGCCAGCATTTTTCAAGACCATTCTGGCCATACTGGACAGCTGGATACATCTGGCAAAACTACAGCAAAATCCATGGTAACCCTGCCCGACATAAAAATTACACTCCCTGTGCTTGCTATAGAAATGTGGCTAGTGGCTATTCTACCTGTATGTATAATCGGCCATAATGATAATCATCTATCCCTTTCCCTGGACTTGGCATCTGAGGTGTTTTTGTTTCCGATCGTCTACCAAGATTTTGCATCACAATTGGCCATTTCATTCATAAATCAATTGAAATGTAAAATCTACCTACCCAGTGCGCTAATGTTAATTAACAGAACAATGCACTGCGTGCATTTAACGGGTAGTAAATAAATTATAGTGATTGTTATAAAATGTTCAAGCAAGCCAATATATTTTGCCATTTCCATCCAACATGCCAGCGTTCTTTTCTATAATCGTAGTTCAATCCATTTTGCATGTAGCACATGCAATAGCAACCAGAAAGGAAGTGAGAAAGTGGAAGTGCCCTCATTCAAAACTTCGACTGTCTACTAGTATAATTTTTCTAGACAGGTCTAGCACGTTTGTAAACTTTATGGAGTAATGTTGCATGTTGGAACGTTGCGCGATATTTCATAACTGACGTGGACACGTCGTCTGCAATAAACACTGGCTACGTCATATATGTATTCTTAGCATTAATAATTCAGTTCCGTCAACAACAAAACAGAAGAGCAGGCGGCATGCCAGGACAAAAATTTTATCAACATCAACCCGCCGCCAAAATTATGCTGAACTTACAAGAAGTTGATCATCTTGATCCGAACGATCATCCCTCGAACAAATCCATCTGACGATGCCGTTGGCATTGGGCCTGGTTGACTGTCAGGAACGGCTCCGTTGCCCTGAGATCGTCTTGAAGTCGCCCCTTTCTCCCTCGACTTGCCCTTCCTTTCCGCCATTTTGAGGCTTCCCGCGAAATGTCTGCATCCGGGCACTTGGGGAAAATATACCAATCTAGGCTGTCAATCAAACTTTCCACTTTGACCAATAAGAAAGCGGAATTTGGTCAGGTGATCTTAGTGGGCGTGTAGGTCAAACTTCTTGGGTTCATTGGGTCATAGAATGGGACGATATCGGATATAGGGGTGTAGAATATTGACCAATGATTTTCATCTCTATTTTGATAGATCAATTGAAATCTTTCAAATAAAATAGATGAAATCATGTCGATATATTTATTGATATATTTATTTCTATAGTTTGACACCATGCATAAACAAACTGAATGTAAATCGATGTTAGCATCCCTATAAGTGGAATGGAACAAACGATTTCGTCGTCCAAGATGGCTGCCGTCTGAAAGTAGATTGTGTTCAATTTTACTTATTTTACAAATCCTGTGTGTTTGGGACACTTATTCACAATGAACGTGGTGCTGGCGGTGAAGCAGTATGTGGCGAAGATGATAGAAGACAGTGGACCGGGCATGAAGGTTCTACTGATGGACAAAGACACGGTAAATGAAAGTGGGCGTAAAAATTGATCACACATCATAGCATCATGTCATTGATTCTGAATCGAAGTTAGCACTGCACAAAAATCCTGAATTTATTAAGGTTACCTGTAACATAATTCAGATGACACAACAGTAACATATTGTGAAGAGAGGCAGGGTTATCTAGTCTCAGCTCTGCTGAAAAGTGAGATGTACTACTGAAAGAAATTCTTACAAGAAAATAATTTTTATGACCACTGTCAGACGTCAGTTGCTAATGACTTGAGAAAAGAAATATTTACTTTGTTGTCTAGTATCTGCTCTCTGCTTAAAAGTGAGATTACTGAAAGAAAGTTCTTACAGTCAAAATTATGACCGCAGTGCTAATAACTATTTATTTTCAACCAGATCTTTATTTGGTATTCTTCTAGCTTTCTGGTACTTTTTATCATAAATGTGTTTAACATTACATTTATAATTTGCAAGTTCAAAGAGGAATGATAATGTGGATACTGATGTATAATTTCCACATACATGATTCTTCCTGAGTCCCAAAGTAGGGTTCAAGTCTAGAGGTGTTCTTTCCTTTGTACTTGTACCAGACCAGCATAGTGAGCATGGTGTATGCCCAGTCAGAGATCCTGCAGAAGGAGGTGTACCTGTTTGAGAGGCTGGACTCCCAGGGAAGGGAGATCATGAAGCACCTCAAGTGTATCTGCTTTCTCCGACCAACAAAGGTTAGTCACTGCAGCAAGTCTTTGGCATGGCCTACCTTACACACAATGCCAATCCCATGGCACTTGGGTTGCATAGCTCAACTTACTCAACCATTCTAGAAATTGCACATTACATACTCTATGCCAGATTGCCAATCATCTTGAATTCGGATCTCCCAATTTCGTGAGCCTGACAGCTTGGCTTTACACATGCACTGAAGTTATCAGGGAGGTCTTGTACAAGTTCTTTGGGGGTGATTTTTGTGATTTGTAACAAAAGCCTTTGTACAACCATAAACATCATCTTTACTTTTGGAAAAAGCTGTGACACATCACCATCCCGATGTCACCATTCTTAATGTCATGAAATTTGATGTCTAAAGTGGGCTTTTGTTTGGGTATTTTGCCATCTCTAGGTTACATATGATGTTTTTGGCATTGAATTGGAATAGGAACTGCAAAGTTCTGTTATTTGTCAACATTGTATCATTCACATCCTATTTCTTAGTTACAATGGGATTATTCTTTGCCTTGTAGGAGAATGTTGAGTTCTTGTCACAGGAACTGAAGAATCCAAGATACGGAATATACTATATATGTAAGTATAAACCATTTCAAAATACATGTGTAAGTACAGTTGAGTATATTGAAGATCCAATTGTGAGTTTTGCAGCAGATTTTGTTCAAATCTCTGAAAAGCAAGAGTTAGGTTGCTCAATAACATGGACTTGGGTCAATAACATTTTGTCCTTAATTGAGTGACTGTGTGACCAAGTCTGAACAAGAATGATGATGCTTTTACTAGAAAGTCTCTTGTAGCAGCATCTGTAGAAAAGACAGTTGTTGCCTGTTCCTAACAAGGTGTGTGTTTCAGATTTCAGTAATGTCATCAGTAAAAGTGATGTGAAGGTCCTTGCAGAGAATGATGAACAGGAGGTGGTTAGAGAAGTACAGGTCAGTAATCATTCATGTGGAATATCAGAAATATCCCGTCCCGTAACTACACAAATTGTTGCCTTTCTAGTCTTGTATCTTGGTTAAACAGATCTTTATCAAAAGGGACACCATCTCTTATCTTTACCATTTTGGGAAATAACGTTAATTAAATAACAGGTGAACATTTTGCAAGTCTTCCCTACCTGTGTTCCAGGAATTTTATGGAGATTACATAGCTGTGAACCCACATCTGTTCTCATTCAACCTCACTGGTTGTAGTCAGGTAAATACCGTGGCTTCTTTTCTTATTGTGTAAAGGTGGGGGCTGTCTGAAAGGATGTGCAGTCCATGTTTTCTTCTTTCCTCTGCCACTTTCTTTATCTTCTTTCAACCTAACCAGTGTAACAGACCAGAGTATACCCCTGCCCAGAATGTACCCAGGTATCTTCTGGCATGGGGTATATTTTGGCATGTTGTACCTGTAGGTAATCTGCCATTCCTTTGTTGTGTTGTAATTCCCTTATTACCAACAGCTTTGCTCAAACTACAAAGCAGTGATACAGCTAAACATCGGCCTGATCCTTTATTCTCACAGGTTACTTCTCTTCCTTTCTACCCTCATCAGGTATTTGTATCTTGCTTCTGTGGTCTATGCTTAGTGCATCCTCCCTTGTTGAATACTCAGTTGTTGGTTTTCTCTGTTGCAAAATAATTACATTTCCAAATACATGTAGTACTTAATTTACATGAAAAGTTGATTTATTCTGTTTTTGTTTTGTTTGTTTGTTTGTTTGTTTGTTTGTTACTTCCTTTGTTGATGAATGAAGTGTTGTTTTTTTTCCCAAGTTGAACATCCTTGTAATCTATCTGGCATCATAGATGTGCCTTCAAATAGAACAAATTGCACATCTATGTTGCTTGTTTACTGTCTGTTTTGGGGGTTGTTCGAAAAGTCAGAAGATTCTAATGGAGGAAACAGAAACAATGCATCATATCACTCTTGACTCAGGGTATCAACTGGACGTCTCAGGCCCTGGCCAGAAGTTGCCAGGGACTCACCGCTCTTCTGTTGGCTCTCAAGAAGTGTCCCATGATCAGGTATGTCTGTCTTACTGTAGGACTCATGGGGCTCCTTTTTCTATGATATGGATGTTTAGTGATTGATGTGTGGATAATTTATTGATATAAGTTTATATCATGTCACTAACCATCCATGTGTACATGTATAAGGCATACCATATACATGTACATACATATCCTCTGCCTTCAATCTTGCTGGCATACATGTAAAACTGATCATGTAAAAGGAATGTCTAAGTGTGTGCAAGCTCTATTATACATGTATTTCTATTTTCCTTAGGTTCCAGAACTCATCCGAGATGGCCAAGCGATTAGCAGAAAATGTCAGAGTAAGTACAAGACCCAAGATAAACCTAACATAGAGAGTTTGGAAGCCTTGTGAGTGAACCCTAATCTTGTTAATTTTCGGACGGTGAATAGTTTCATCAGTTTGGTAGATCCATGTTTGTTATACACAACCAAAGAGTCAATGTTTGTTAAACATAACTAAAGAGTCAATACACGTACCTACTTTGTCGAAATTAGGTCCTCTACAAAATTGTTTTCATTTTGCAGCAAGTCATTTCCAAGGAGGCAGGTCTGTTTGACTTCAGAAAGCCTGATGTGCCTCCACTGTTACTGATCCTGGACCGAAGAGATGACCCAGTCACCCCACTCCTTAACCAGGTGTCACAACACTTTCCTCTCAACTATACAAAAAGATATACATTGAACATGTATGGATACTTGCATACACTGGTAATGAACATTTTCCTTTTTTAGGGTAAGTAGACTGTTGCCTCATTTAGAGTCTCAAGGTTATCACTGGTTCTGTAGGTTCTATTTACCAGTGCATAATCATTTAGCATTGTGGGAGCTGCTCAAAGTGACCAACCCTGTCTGCGATGTTTGATTCTAGTGGACGTACCAGGCCATGGTTCATGAGTTGTTAGGTATCCATAACAACAGGATCGACCTGTCGTCCGTCCCCGGGATCAGTCGTGACCTGAGGGAGGTCGTCTTGTCTGCAGAACACGATGAGTTCTACGCAAGTGTGAGTATCTACATGTACATTACTGTTAGTCTAGCAGAATATCTACCCTCTGCATAACACACTGCTTTGAAATTATATAACTGCAGCAGATCTGTATTGCATCAAATAACTTGTCTCACAACTCCAATATCAGGAATTGTTAGAAATCATGCACAAATATGATTGTTCCTTTTAAAAAACCTTTCCACTACATCATGTATGTATCTTAACAAACTAATTCAAGTTATTCAAATAACAAAAACCAACATTGTTGTATAGGAAGACATGATACATGTATACATTAACAGCTTGTTAATTTGCAAAGCCCTGAAGAATGTTCCAACTAAAATGACCTTTTGATGTGTTTTCCCCAGAATATGTTTTTAAACTTTGGAGAGATTGGCTCCAACATCAAAGAACTGATGGAGGATTTCCAGAAGAAAACCAAGAGTCAGCAGAAAGTGGAGTCCATTGCAGATATGAAGGTGACCAATTTTTCACCGCAATGTGGCTAAGGCTAAGCATTGTTCTGTGTTAAGTTTTTCTCTTATACCATGCTGGTTCCATACACAAAGATGTTCATATTCTATTTTTAAACCTGAACAAAATTTACCTTTGAAATACAGTTTTAAGGATTTACTGTAAAATTCCATGTCTTATTTCTGGCTACAAATTTATATGTATGTTCCTTGTCCAGGCATTTGTGGAGAACTATCCTCAGTTCAAGAAGATGTCTGGTACAGTTGCCAAACATGTGACCGTGGTGGGAGAGCTGTCTCGCCTGGTGGGAGCTCACAAGCTCTTAGAGGTGTCTGAGGTAGAGCAGGAGCTGGCCTGCAAGTCTGACCATTCCAACCACCTGCAGGTAGGAAAAATCATCAGGTCAATGGTACAATTGATGAATGCATACTTTTTTCATCTGTAGAAATAGATTACATTGTGGTGTTCAATGTGACCACACTGTAGGTACATGTGTACAAGAATAGCTTTGAGAAACCATGTACTTAAGTACAAAAGCTTGTATAAAACCATTTAAATTTTTGTGTGATGTGAGTTATCTTAACAGGTAAATACATAATCATTTATTCCTTATGACCTCAAATAAATGGCTTTTTCATACACAAAATGTTTTTAATACACAAGAACAAGGTGGTAACATGGTAACATTGCATAATAGCAAAACAGCAGTTGAGAAACTGACACAAGCTTTGTGTCAGTGCACATAAAACAAGTGATGTCAGCCATGTACATCCCTGTTCTGTCCAGAGTATCAAGAAGCTGTTCCAGGATGAGCAGGTATCAGAGCTGGACCTGGTGCGGCTGGTCCTGCTGTACGCCTTACGGTACGAGAGGCATCCCAACAACGAGGTGCACTGGATGATGGACGCCTTGGGAAGGAGGGGGGTTAGTGACAGATACAAGAAGGTTGGTCCCAACTCAATAATCAAGTCAACATAGCAAACTGTTCACAACTATACAATGGTATTTTGCTTATCTGCAAAGGATTCTATACGATGCACAATGTGTATAAAACCGAACATGAGCTCGTAAAAGGATCCAAAGGAAAACATTAAAGCACAGGGGTTAAGTGATAGGGGCTGCTTGTACTCAGAAATTATCTCCTATAAATTTGCATTGCAACAGATCAAAAAGTAGCACTCAGGTTACAGTCTACTGCAATAACATACTTGGATCTGATGTATGATTTACTCAGACTTCATTCCACTTATGTAATTAGTATATATACAGGATAAAGACAGTTGTTGTGAGTTGTTGACAAGAAAAGATGAAACTTACTAAGTTTTATCTTTAAGTTACTTAGCAAATATTTGTAACAATTACGAGCAAGACAGAAATTTCAAGGAGACCTTTTATGTATATCTATTGCCGCAAAGAATATTGGTGATTTTATCTGCAAGTAACTCAGAGAAAAACCCTGCAGATAGTAACTCAGGGTTACAGAAATAGACTTGGCAGATATGGATTGCGCAGTGTTTGTATCACAAGAGTGCCTAATTTGACTGTTACATCATTCCCAGCTTGTGTCAGCGATTGTGGAGTACGGAGGGGCCAAGCGCCGTGGAACTGATCTGTTCGGCACAGACAACACCAACCCCATCTCCTTCACTAAGAAGCTCCTTAAGGGCCTTAAGGTACTTCTGTCCACTATGTGTTGGTGCATGGCATACTTAAGATAAATGTTGCAATGTTCCATCTATGTCTGTAATCTTTGTGTCAGCCCATGTTAAGAGCACCCGACGGTAATTGCACACCATTAAGGGATAATGTGGCCATTCCTAATGTGGCTTATCTAATCCATAAAGCTGCCAGGACTAGTCAACGCTCTGATATCAGTTAACGGATCACTTCGTTAGAGCGTGGTGGGAAGATTTGTGAAGATACCAGAGCTTAGAATGTTCAGGAGGTGGATTGCTCGTGTCAGGTCTTCACAATACTGGCATTCATCAGATATGCTTCAGCTACAATTCATAGATTAAATGGAAAGGGGCATTTCTGGATCAATTGTAGGGGATTTTCATACTTCAACTCTTTACCATACAGTCATTTGTCAAATATAGAAATGTACTTTTGCTTTGATTTTCATATATTTATGTGACATGAGAAATTAGGTCATTCGTATGAAGGAAACATCACCCCCAATATGCTGCAATGGTAGTCATTGATCAAATGGCTCTCAGTTTACGGAAGGAGAAAGGAAAATAGAGCTTTACGGGCGTCAAATGCAGAGTGGATAGACGACAACAATATGTTAGGAATCTACAGTTCATCATCAAAGAGTCTTTAGTAGTAGAAGTAGTATCTGATATTTGATAATACTGCTGCAGGGTTGGAAGTAGAAGAAGTTAGAAGTTGAAGATGAGAAGTTAAAGTTGAGATGTGAAGTATGGTAGAGGGTCTGCATGCCCTTTTTCGTTAACCGTTATGGGCTATTTTAATTCACCGTTAATCGTTGCCGGCCCGATCTAATTCGACGTTAAGCGTTATCAGTATATTCCTCGTGAAGCGTTATGGGTCGTTTTAATTAAACGTAAAACGTTATTTGTCATCCTAAATTCAGCGTTAAGCGTTAATGAATAATTCTTCGTTACGCCTAATTTTGCCTTTCAAAGTGCAGGAAAGTGCGTCATTGAAGGTTTAAAAATACAAAATTTCCCGCGGGAGAATGCCCCCGGACCCCCCCTACATTGCTCGCGCCGTTGGCGCTCGACTCGCGCTTCTGCGCTCGGTCCCTTCGGCTCTAGCCAGAACCAGTTTTCCCTTCAATTTCCGGAAGTTTGCGGAGAGTTACAGAATTTTTTTAACGAATCCGTCAACCTTGACAGGCAAATTAACAAAAATCTTCAGTAAAATATGAAAACATCAGAAGGATCGACAAACACTCTCAACACCATGATTTGCCTCTCAAGATGCGGGAAATTGCGTTTTTGAAGGCTTAAAAATCCTAAATTTTCCGGGGGAGCATTCCCCCGGACCCCCCTAGATTACGAGCGCCTTTGGCGCTCCCTTCTCAAAATCCATCGGTAAAACTGGGGAGACTGAAAAAATGCAAGCTGGCCGACGTCGAGTCGGACACCCCGGTATTTGTGGATGCACTCGGGGACCAGGGCAGGTGGGAAGCACAGGGAACACATACCTTTAATGCATGCTTCATTACATGTAAGGTATACGTAATTTTGTCTGTGATCACCTTTTCTCACAAAGCGAGATACCAAATCCAGTGCAGCTCGAAAAAAAAGCATGCCAATTTACCGTTAAGCGTTGCCGACCGTCCTGAATTTACCGTTAAGCGTTATCGGCCCTGCTGAATTTACCGTTAACCGTTGCCAGGACCCCCCCATGCAGACCCTCATGGTATTATGTTGGTGTATCTGTGTGTAGGGTGTGGAGAATGTGTACACTCAGCACACCTCCCTGCTGCAAGATGTCCTGGATCAGCTCATTAAGGGTAAACTGAAGGATGGGAGTTACCCTTACCTGGGCACCAGCACCCTCAGGGACAGGTCAGTCTGATAAATGCCTATTCTTTTGTTGTCTTGGCCAGTTTCCATGGCTCCTGTATGTGCTTACCACTACCCTTTCCACACAATCTGCCACTCTTTGTCAAATACTTAATATTCTTGATGCTTTTCTTTTTGAAGCTTTTGCAGTGCTTCTCAAAATCATGACACCATGGATATGTATTTTTGTTATACAGTATTGTTTAATCTGCAAAAACCTCCTTTCCACAAAATGAATGGATTTATAGTACTAAACACTTAACACAAGGTGCAATAAGGTATTTTCAAAACAGATGAAATAGTTCATGGCCTGTCTTGTATGTTATATAGCCTGGCAACTGTTGTGGTACATGTATCTTTAATCCTGCCCAGGCCTCAGGATATCATAGTGTTCACAATCGGTGGAGTGACATATGAGGAATCTCTGGCCATCCACAACATGAACAGGACCACTCCAGGGGTCAGGATAGTTCTAGGGGGCACCACTGTTCACAACACAAAGAGGTATGGACTTGGCAGCACTGATGAACAAAGAGATTTGCCTTTTAGATACATGTTCCAGACTACCGTATGCTTGTTGGCTAGATGCAATCTCTCAATCTAGGATTGATGTGTTAAAATGTTCAGTTTGTCTAATTATTACAGTAGAGTGGAACTCACTGCATAGTAAGGGCAACCCGACAAGATAGCTTGTTGGTTGTGCAATGTAACACCCCCTTTCCACTAGTGGTTGTGACACTGAGTGACTAGTGGGCAGATAGATTGCTTAACAAATTGTTGTCTTTTAAAAGTTTAAAATCATAGTTTTGCATGGTGCATCTTATTCTACTTATAAGTTATAAAGTCAAAGGTCACACATAGCCAATTTCAGTTCCTCAACGATCAGCACTCATTGTCAAGTGGAAGCAGGCCTAACCAGCTTCTGCCATGTGCATGCAAAGTGTGATATGCTAAAGGGCAAATATTATGCTTCTACAATACAGATACAATAACTATTTACACGTGTAGTTGATTTGAAAGGCTTAAACTGAGAAAATGTGACCTTTGCTTTTCTTTTTCTTCACAGCTTCTTGGAGGAGGTATGGCAAGCGACACAAGGTCTGAGATTCCAATACACTAATGCACAGGCCTCCCCTCAACACAGATGGACATGAGTCTTATATTCAAATGGACAAAAAAATGATGCACAGAATTAAGCACTTAACAGTCAACTTGCTATCCTTCAACTGTGTAATACAGATATCGCTTACGGCATCAGCCCAGAAGTTGTAATGATGAAGTTGAAACTGTTTATATACTAGTATTATAAGCAAGGCTTAACTGTAGTCTTACCTGGATCAGTACAGTCTGCAATCAGGAAGGTGACATGAGAATGTAATTATCTAGAGAGACATTGTCTGTTGCACTTAGGCTCTAACAAATGTCGTTAATACATGTCTCGGCTGATAACATCTCTGTGATCAGGTGTGGAAGTAGAAGGGATATACATGTACTGCTGTGTTTTGTGATATTTGAGAAGCATACATGTTATAAGCATCAGGGTGCCAAGTTATTACATGTACTTCATACCAGATTGGAGTCTTTAACCTGAGTGGAAAAATTTGCTTTGATATTGTTGCCCTTGGGCTGCATTCAAAGAATACCCCAATTTTAGATCTGATAAATTTGATGTTGAAACCTAGCCTTGAGCTGGCTACAGAGCACTGATCAATACCCATTGTGGAGTACAATTTGGGTGATTTGAGCTGCGGTTCTGAAATTGATTCCAGATCAGCAATCACAGCCCCTTTCCTGTCAAGAAGAAAGACCAAAAAGCTAGGTGCACAACTGTGGGTACACGTAAGAGAAATCCACTTCTAAAATCACTGTAGCAAGTGAACACATTTTTTACACTTGACTGAACAGGTACATGTAGTTGTGTGGATAACTAAGGCTTTTTGCCTTCCGGGTTGATTGGATACTGCATTCAGTTATCTATGCAGCATGAAAATTTTGATAGATACTGAAAAGAGTCTGCAGTTTCAGTTACGATATTAACAACACAATTTGGAAATGCTAGCACCTGTTTTCAGCTGTCATTAGTTCACACTGGCCAAGTGAATATTGCAGATATTTTACAGTATTCACTGTATGGAAAAGTCATGTGCGTATTACAATATAACATGCATTTCATTGAAACTGAGCCCGCCATTATCAGAGTATAGAAGCGAGTCACAGAAAGACTAGACCAAACAGATTTGGAGAGCACTAAAAACGTATAAATTAACTAGAATTTCTCCCTCTGGGCCTTTGCCTGTCATGATGTTTCTTGTCCATATGTTAACAAATGGCATATCATTGTGGAAAGCGGAAACTTTGAATCAGTCTGCGGGTCATGAGTCAAGCAGAAGAAGCCCTCTGATTGCCAGACTAATGCAATATAAATCACAATTTTGCTGCTGGATTAGTTTTCTTGACCTGTGGCACACTTAATGTTAATCCATGCAGGAGAGAATTGTAGTTGACCTGTAGTGTGGTACCAGTAATGCCCTGAGGAATACGGTAAAATGATTTTAATTTGGAAGGGGTGAATTTCATCAACTGTCAGGTATCAAGTAAATGCTACACCCTGACTAGCTAATGTGTATCCATAGTCCAGTTCAAGTGGTAAGCATACAGAACAAACTGCCAAAGTTGTCAGAACAAAGAGGCCCAAAGTTGCTCAATTCTTCCAATTTTACAGATACCATCATACTTTACATCAGTGAGGTTGTCTGCAGAGGTGCCACAGGCATCTTATCTCCTGGGACTTGTCTGTCACTGGAGGGAGCACATTAACCTTGACACACCTTGAATGTGTTCTACTTTGGGGAGGTTCATGAAATATGCAGGTGTCGATGTGAATTGTACAGACGTGTTAAGTGAAACAAGGATTTGCATTGCATGTTATCATTTGGGGTGATGAGGTATTAAGGTTTTCCAGGTGTATGAACAGTTGTATTCTTCTGTTTTCACTTATATTTATGCTTATGTTTAACCAATGGTTGCTACAGTGAAGTCTCGGCAGAAGAAGAACAACAGCACAGATAAAGAAAGTATTGTAGAAATGTAGATATGTGCAAACTGTAAGATGCATATGGTCTGTTAAAACGTTTGTTGGAATGGGAATGTGACGAGTTATTTTTGCCCATGTCCCCCGACTAGACTATTGATATAGCAGGTGCGAAAGTATTCATTTGTGTAACTATGCTTACTTTGCAGCATTGTTAAGGCCACCTCTCCACTAGATGGCGATTACTGAGCAGCCAAAATTGTGCGACCCTTGATTTTTGTAATTGGAACATTATACACGATGTTAAAAATAATGTAACATTTTTAATTTGTTCAACTATGAAGTTCATGAAGTGATCTGTCAAATTTTCTGTTGCTCAGCAGTAGCAGCCTCTAGTGGAAACAGGATGTAAAGAGGTCTTGATGTATGTTGGAAACAGGGCTACTCTCAAGAGGAGTACTTGTTTTGATGAATAGATATGATTGCCATTATTCCCTTTAGAGATGTAAGTACTGTGATGACAGCTCCTATTCCTGATGTATTATACTGCAGAACAGAGTACCATTGGGACTTGCCATGAATGACATGCTTTACAAGTAAAGTACACAGTAGGGGAATACAAACTCTTCAAGAGCATTCATCTAACATTTCAGCTTATATATTGTGCAATGTAATTTTATCTTGCATTTTTATCTCTTGACAGTAAAACTGATGCCAAAGTAGGTATATTGCTTTGCTATTACAATTTGTGCTGGCATAATTAAATATGCTGCACAATAATGACTACTTGTTTTTATACTGTGTAGTACTAGTAGCATTCACATATAAACATGTAAACATATACATGCATAGCTATAAACACATGAAGTTGATTACATGTGTTTTACCAACACCATGTATATTAAAAACGACAGATGGGTGTACATGTATATCGTACATTAACCCTTAATGAGATTCCTTTAAATGCGTAAACTGCTGAAAACAGTACAACAAAATCCTGCAAAAATCGTTGACAAGCCAGAGCGGTTTAAGCACGAAACCCGTTAATGGCTTTCCCATTTGCCATCAATTAGAGTAATGTACCGGTAATATTACAATGAGATTAGTTTCAGTTGGTAAAAGAAACTGCTGCGTTTCTTGTTGTTTTCACACTGAAATTCAAAGAAACAACATGTATTACAGATACCAATAGCAAATAAACTTGATGCTCCCGCTCTCTATTCACGGCATAGTTGGAACCTTTTGGGATGTCGTTACATCCATTTTCATTCCCAAATCATCAATGTTTGATTAAGTTTCACTTAAAGCAGTTGCATGGCTATTAGTTTCCATTGCCGTTCGGCACAATGAGATTGATACTAATGAACTTCAGTGCCATATGCACCGTGAGTATATCATTCACGTACTCCGAATATGACATGTGATTTAGGCTATACCGTCTTCAATATGAGAGTCTAAATTAGCTGCCTTTCTTTTGTCATAAATCAGGTGTATGATAGGAGTGTCATTTCCCAAGTTATTACAGACAGCCGAAAAGCCTAGTCTCGGGGGAACAGCCAATGAGAATTGCCCCGCTACACTGATGGCATCTCGTTTCTAACACTGCGGATTCACAATATCACCCCGAATATGCCTTTGATAGAAAATAAAACGAATTGGTGTAAAAGAGGCAGCATTTGGCTTCTGAAATGGACCTTCCAAGCTTGGGTTGTGTTTGGAAAGCAGGATTGAAATTGTCAGGATTGTGATGAATTATTTTGATTGCCAACCAACTGGGAAATTTATTTTTTGAGCAATATGACGTGCACAGTACAACACGATACACACGTTACCTGTGTCTACAGAGAATAGTCGGTTATGTCAAAATCACGCCGGTAGATAGGATATATCTTTACAGCCCATGTAGACTAACTATGGGAAATTGGTTTTGTTAAAGAGCTCGCCTGATGCTCTTCTCTTGGATTACCTGTAACTATCCAATCTGTCAAAATCATCCTCACCGTTCCCATGCAGAGAACGGTGATGCTAATCGCGTGTAATGTTGCAGCCGTGCCAGACTGCTCCGTCGGGACAGGGACGTTGACGCGGTTGTTCCATTATTTTGAGTTCAGTTCATGACGGCAGGGACTGTTGAAAACAAAGGTACTCGTACAACGTTGTTAGTTCAGGGCCGGTTCTGTAGCACGTTGTGGCGTAATTTGCACCCGCCTATACTGAGAGGAACTTCAAGCCACAAACTTCGTATTTCCAAGGACATTATACACTTGGTATTTCTGACATGTTGAGGTTAACGTCGTCATGCATACATTATGCATATTTTGTGACACTTTGCATAGTTCATGAGAACAAGGACATTATAATGTCCTTGATGAGAAGAACGTCAGCAAAGGTACGTTGAGGTGGTTACTTTTTGCCCCACGACCGTGAATGTAACCACGTTTCTGATCCGAACGCAGAAGACCAACCGAAAAAAAGTGAACTGTTACTGACGACGTCGACTTTGAAAATGCTCGTGCAAAATTGTGACCGAAATAAAAGATGAAAAAACCCCGGCACCCCACCCTTTGTCTTCTTGAGAACAACCCACATCCCATCAAGATCAGTAAAGGGTTGCGTTGAAAAATGAACGCCTCAAGCCAGTAATCCTGCCGACGGCATTCAATTTACTGGATGACCCGTTTGCGACCTCCAATGTTACGGCCTCCGAACCATTAAGTAAAATGAGGGACTCAGGTTTATGCTGCAGAAGAAGACTTCAGCGGTTGTCTTTGTCGCTAAGCAACGCTAGGCGATTGTGAAAAAGGAAACTGATGGGCTGTCAACCTTTTGCAAAAGAGAGCGGAGATAAATGTATTAATTTAATCTAGGATGTATTTCTTTATTGCATTCGCTTGGCACTGATATCATAGTATGCAAACAGCCGCTAAATGTGATTATTCTGCATCAAGTGAAAGATAAGAGACAAGAAGCACCAAAGATATGATAACAATAGCTGGTGATAGACTATATGGGTACCCCTCCTAGGATCTTTTCTCCATTTACATTCACAAGCCCTTCAGTTCTGCAGCAGCCGGAATTTAATCTAGTTCGTTCTATTACCTCCCATGGATGTGGAGCTCCAGACGTATTATGACTGTCCTCTTCTCTCCACTGTAGCATGATCATCACCAGGAGCTGCGCCCGCAACCGGTCACTTCTAAAGGTGTCACCGAGAGACTAAGCTTAATTAGACGGTAATTTGCAAAAGAGGACAGTTCGCAATAATCTGCTTTGTTTCTGAGATGTAGGTGATTGTGGTCTGAGATTGTGGTGTGTAGTTGTTGAGATGTACTTTTTGAAGCTGAACTGCTTTTATTACTGGTGCATGTAAGGGTGGGCTAAACCCGTCTACAGTCGCTCAAATCGTTTTACGCGGTGCATTGTTTTTCCCTAAAGCCAAGGTCACGTCTGCTCTTAACATAGCGTACCTCAGTCAATGAGAAAGGACCATGATATTATTATAATGGGATACCTCGCAGGTCAATCGAATAATTTGCCATGATTGCAACTGCTGACAGTGCGGATCACTTTTGCAGTGGGACGTCACAAAGCTTGAATTTGTCTACCTTGTAGCAGACTGCTGTTTATGTCTATACTGTCGTGCACACAGTATACACACATCCCATATACAAACAGAAGAATCTACTAGTATACAGCGATGGTGTTGCTACAATGGCCTCTATTCGTCATCTTTATCATGTATGGTAAAATGACCAAATTGGCTCTGTTCAATGCTAAACCTGAATATTCCACAGAAGAATGCATTCGGAAATGTCCTAGATATTCTAATTACTGTCTCCACTAGCCGCTGTGGTACCGCTGGACAATTCATGAATCCAGACAGCAAGCTGTCCCCTTAGATAACCTCACAGGTCACGCATGCAACATTTAGCACATCGGAACAATCGCGTCGCATAAACTTGCATTAGCTTCCTTAAAAGGGAAAAGCTCTCTGATCAATTGACCGAGAAAGAATTATCGATTTTTTTCACTTTAATCGGGCGTGGGCGCGTACATATACATCTAACAAGCTCATTGGAATGGATGTTGTGTTGTCCGATAGGTGTTTCAGTGATTCCCGTGTTTTTCTCTGATGTTCGCATTTTACGTCCTCTCGTATTTGTAGTTGCCGTGGTGTTGTGCTCTTCACACGATCCCATCGGGGTGTTGTACAGTCCTTGAGTGGATGATCTGCACGGCGGCCAGTCTTATATTTCAGAAAAGTTGTGCTGGTGTGGTGCGTCTCGCAAATTGCCATTTTAGCCCCGCTGGAGCCGGGCAGTTGTTGAACCAATCTGGCGAGAATCGCAAAGAACGACGAATTCCGCCACATCGTCGTGGAGAAGACTGCGGGTTCAATGGTGGCTTCAGTCTGCCAGTGACTATAGCTATTGTGAGTAAAAGGAGGCAGTGGCATGACGGCGGGCTTGGAAATGTGACGCCCTGGAGTGGTTGGTACATGAGAGTAGCCGCGTGCCAGGTTGAAGTAGTAATTCTAATCACAGCAGCGGCAGATTTGTCAGGATGACGGAGGCGGGACGAGAGTTGTTGGATGCGCAGTAGGCCACAGGGTGTTGCACAGCCACTTAGCCGTGTGGCAGAAATCACGGATTACAGGACAACTCGCCTGATATGAAAGATGACACTGTTCTACACCAGCTAGCCGACCACCTGAATTCGAAGCCGTTCGCTGGAGTGGATAAACTTTTGAGGAATATTTTGCTTGACTGACTGCTTTATAGAGGTAAGAGTTCACCATTTGTTGTTGTAAGTTTGTGGTCTGACCGTATATCGCAGGGTGGAACTCGTTGCGATACTCATTGCTGTACTGTGTTGCAGCTAGATGTACCGAGGACATTATATTACGGTTTTGCTTGACCATGGATGCACAAAGCGTACGTTTGTAGGTATGACAGGTCGCTCTGTGCAATATATACCCTGATGCTGCCGCGCCGCGTGTCTGCATGCGAAGCAGGGATGTTAGTGCGATTATACCATCAATACAGATACAGATAGTGCAGAGTCTGATATAATGTAGAGCAGTGGTCCGGACGTGTTGCCGCCTACCAACAAGTGGCAAAGAGGAATGTTTGAATAGATTATTACAGCTGCAGCTACAGTGTGTATGGACCATGGGTAGGCACCAGGCACATACCCACAGAATATGGTCCATCAGATCGTAACACATGTATGTGCGTCACCACGCCCCATGCATTGGTGCCGATTATTCGGCCCCAAGCAGATATCGGGCAGGGAGATCGTGACATTTCTGTGACAGCCCTCTTGTGAATGCTGTATATTACATGCAAAATAAAACTCCTCCCTATAGAAGATATTCGTGAAAACCTCATTACAGTAGGAGTATGCGCGTGAGGTGTATGTTGCTGCTGTACGGTACATATTTCATTCAGCACTCCACGGTTTATCCCATTCCCCGAGGCGAATCACTTCATCAATAACCACAGTTAAACCGGGGCGGCTCGCACGGCCACGGACAGTGTATAAACCTACTCCCCTCATCCCCGGAGGCTCCCCAATGTCAGATAACAACAGGGCATAATGTGGAACGATTTTATGTTCAACCAGCGGGATCGATTCCAGTGCTTTCTGGTCTAGCCTGGTCGTCTGCGTAGGCATGTGACACACCATCTTACCTAGCCCAGCTCTACCCAACCGCAGATCACAATCGTGCTAGAGCTTCAAACACTTGCACTGGCAGGTAGAGGAACCGATTTCTTTCCGTGGGGCCCAATCCTGTATGAGCAGAGGTGTATGATGACACGTCACCCTGTCAGGTCTGATGTCTGTCTGGTCATGATGTGATGCAGGAAGTATTACTCCTCGTGACCCCGGGGTCAGTATGGCCGGGTTCCCCATTCAGATCCGCGAAGTTGCATCGGAAATTCTTGTGCCGCATTTTTCACCGCTAGTAACAAAGCATGACGATGAATATATAATAGGGATCTTAACCGGCATATAAACCGTCGTTGTTCATTATAAAAAAGGTAACTTGTATCCTAGATTTTTAAGTCTTAAAAAACATAAATCAAATT